GTTACCCAACCCTAAAAATCAATCTTTAAGTAAACCTGTGTTTCTGTGGTAGAAACTGCATTATTTGTTATATCAGTCCTGTGGTACTATTCCTGGTTTATGATTCATGATGCACTCATTCTGTGATGGTTACAGTCCTATTTTATGTATTAACTGCCTGGCCCTGCAGAATTACTCTGAACAATGTTTATTGTCAGGAGAAGTTCAATATATGCAGGATACTTTTCTATCATGCACATGTACTGTAGTTTACCACAAGTCAACATTGAATATTCTGACCATATTAAGCAACTCTATCAATTTACAGAGGAAATTAAGCTCTTCCTATGATATTGTGTTGATTTGGTAAGTTTCCAGTCCAAGAAGTTCCAAAGTATTCCTTTTACACTTTCATGTGTTTCAGAAATGCTATGGTAATGTCTGTTATATTGAACAGAATGTTGAAGTATTCACTCAGGTGTATCACAGCACTACCAATGCATATTTGTTAAGTATAATTTTGGGAAGTATCATTTCATGAGACAGTCATATTAAGTGAAGCCTGAAGCCATCTTGCAGCGCCAGTGTGTGTGTTTTGTGTCAGGGAGAGAGTAGCTTATCCCTGTTTGGAGGGTAAAGCGTCAAGCTAATGAATACAAACTCTCTTCCACACACTGCTGGGTACAGCTGAACAGCTGATAGCTTCCAAATCTACCAACAAATTGAAGATTCCACATTTAATCATGCATGAGAGCAGGCAATATAACCTGGCTTGCAGACTCCAAGGTCAGTGGTCACAAACAAGCACCATAATATCAAACGCCCTCGCTTGAAAGCTTGATTAGAATTAGGTGCGTGACTTTCAACATGAGAATCTTTCACACAGAGCAAGGCAGCTGAGTACTATAGGCATTCAGATTGAGAAACGAATTACTTGAACATGTACGTACTGTAGATTAACATACAGTATGAATTTCCAACAACAATGATATACTGTCATTAGCCGAGGTTGCACATAACTAACATCTAGTTTTTTACACTCTATAAATCATTTTAAAGTGATGTTTTCTACTCAAAAAGTAGAAATGGATTGACTTTCCATTAAGGCAAATCTGCATTTCAGTGTTATACAGGGTGCTTTTTATGAGCATTATGGGGGGATATTCCATGATCTTTGTAGATATAAATTATTTCAAAGGTGCAGGATGTCTGCCACAAATCTAATAGCAGCCTGTCAAACGAACCACAAAGCTGAACCAAGATGGAAGTTATTCGTCGGGACAGAAAGGCCTGATTCCAAGTCTCAATTTTGATTTATTGGTGATAAATCTTGCTGCCATCTCCAGCACTGACAAATACAAATTGCCTCCCCATGTCCAGTAAATGGGTAGTTACCTCTGTCATTTCCAATCCATAGCCTGCGTTCTACTGACGTCACTGTTCACTCTGAAGCTCAAGATGTCATATTACTCATAGGTTATTCATAGGGAGAAAAAAATGCACATTCAGTAATTTAATCTCATCAATCCTTTTCAGTCAACAACTGGCTGTATGATGTGCACAGGTCATTAATAACATTCAAGTGGGACACAAGTTGAGGCTACATCAAGCTCACAGCTGGAAGAATATATGTCCCCTATTTCTTTTCTTTAGTTCTTTAAATAATACAATTGACCTGCTTCTCTTGTCTGGCTTAAATATAACTGTCAGGGGACAACCGAATTGTTACATTGCCTTAGTTTAGATATTTATCATTACTTTATAATAGTCATTGTAAAAGCTTATTTTTACAAAAATCTCTTCTTTTACTTTTTCTACATGTGTTTGACAAGGTGTAAACACATTACTGTTTTCTATTGAATGTACCATTTTTTCCCCAAGGCTGTAACAAAATGAAAAAATCAACATCAGTTTCTTCTTCTCCACTGCTCAAAACCTTCCGGTTCTTGATTTAGAAACTGAATTAATACATTATTCATTTAATTCAACCACTTTAACTAGTTTTAGAAATTTAAGGTGTTAATGCTGTGAAAGACCTTAGGACCTTGAACACTGAAGGTAGAGATGAGAAAAATGCAAGTGAAATCACTGCATTTTGAACTAGCTTCATTTATTAAAAGTGGACATTTTTAAAATTGACTTCATTTATTTTTTTCAATTAGATTAGAAAACTTTTTTTAGTTTGTATCTTATTCCAGTGCTTTTCTTCTATTTTTTTCTGACAGTCTCAAAAAAAAGATATATTTGCAGTTACTGCTGGAGTCGACCTTGTTTATTCCATTAAATAATTTATTCCTTAGTCATGTCTTAGCTAATCCATCTTCTGCTAAGACTAAGATGATTTAATCATTCTTCTGTCATAACCATTTGCCCTTTACTGAACTGCCTCCAAAATTTAAAAATCCTTTTGTGGGTAGAACGGAATACTGTATTCCATATAAAAATCTATTGACGACGATATACAACCACAGTATAACCCTTCCTGACTTGAGTTATTGCTTTATTTTTGTTAGTTCTTCCCACTTTCTATTGAACCTGTTGGCAGCAACATCCAGCCGTTCATTTTCTCACAGCTTCATCCAACTCAGTGTTGCGGGGGATCCAGAGTCTATGCTGGAAAACAAAGGGTACAAGGTGGGCTACACCCTGGACACGATGCCAGTAGAAACAAACACATCCGGTGCAATTTTCACAAAACCCAATTCACCAGCTTTGGACTGTGGAAGGAAACTAGAGCACCCAGAGGAAACCCATGCAAACTCCATGTACAGTAGGTAACACCCCAGGTCTGCAATTGAACCCAGAGCCCCAGCCCTGCTGGCCCTGCTAGGGAGCAATGCTAAGCTCTGCACCACTGTGCTGGCCCAGCAATAACATCCCAAGGGTGAAATATTTTGTTTGTACAGGATGGTATAACATTAAGAATCAAACAACATGTAACTCATAGTTTTATGTCATGTCATTTGCCAAACCGCTTTATACCATATGGTGTCTTGGGAAGCTGGAGCCTACCCGGCAAGCAACAAGCACAAGGCAGGGTTCACCCTGGACAGGGCGCCAGTCCATCGCAGGGCCAGTGCAAGCCACTCATACACATGGACAATGAGGAAGGCCATGGTAAAGGCTGAGGCGGGGAATTTGGCCCGGACACCGGGATAACTTCCTGCTCTTATCGAGAAATGCCCGGGGATCTTTAATGACCCCTGAGAGTCAGGACCTCGGTTTAACGTCTCATCTGACATCTATCCACTATATACAGGATAGTGCCTCTGCCACTATACTGGGGCATTAGGACCCACACAGACAGCAGGGTGGGCACCCCCCACTGGTCCCACTAACACCTCTTCCAGCAGCAACCATAGCATCCCAAGAGTCCTCCCATCCAGGTACTGACCAGGCTCAACCCTGCTGAGCTTGGGTGGGTAGCTGGCTGAGAGCTGCAGGGTGATATAGCTGCTGGCACTCAGTTTTATTTCCAGCCTAAAATATCTTATATTAACTGATCATAATATTTTTGATTAATGTAATTGTGAAAAATAAATTCACGAAAGATGCATTCAATATTCATGTTGGGCTCAATGTGACCTTTCTACTACAGTATCTGTGGGTAATTCAGAATATTTTGTTTGCATTTTTCTTTGGAGTAAGTATAATGCAACTATTATTTTACTCTATGTCCGTCATAGAAGAATAGGTGCTTTTTAAACAACTCTGAATAACTCACCCCAGGATTCCTGTAAGGTTCATAATTAGGCCTATTGTATTTTACAATCATTTTCAAGGAACCTCTCTTTTCATTTGTTCAGAAAAGCAATAGGAAATTTGTGATACTAAATAAGTAAACATTAAATACAACACGAAAAAGAAACTACTGCTGTTAGGAAAACAACTATCACAACTGTTACCACAGTATACATTAGGTATTTTATGTTTGGTTACTATTCACATTTCTCCATTATGCACAGCATCATACATTTCTACCTGTTCATACCCCTTAGGTATTTTACTTTTCTTACCTTAAGATGCTGTTTTTAAAATATGCGTTTATTAGTCTCCATATTTTGACATAAATTGAGTTGCAATGTGATGCCCACAATGGAAACTACTTAAATTACCAGTTATTTATGTGAATATCATGTGACCGCATGATATTCACATTCTTACAAATCAGTAGTTTGGTTTAATATGTGTCGTTTTAGTTAAAGAGGTTAGCAGAATATCAATAAAAAAACTACAAATAACGTAAAACCAAACAACAAAACCCACCCTATCAGAACTCAAAATGTACTACGCAAAAGTAACTAGCACCGATTTACCACAGCACTTTCAACACAAGAAAAAAAATAGCTTACAAAACCAAATCCGAAAATCTCTTTTAAAACAATAAAATAAACAAATATGTTTGAACTAAAACAAAATCGTCAATAGTAAAAATAACTTTAAATTAGATTATTTAGTATAGACGAATCTGCTTATCACAGCGTGGAATGAATATACTTATTCCGCCATATTGGTATGTACTGTGTGCTCACGAATGGTTTGTGATATGTTTGTGGTGAAACGGTGCGTTTCCCTTTTAATAGATTAACGGACTTATTTTGTTAAATCTGCTGAATCCCTTCTGGAGATGTATCGCCGCGGTGCAACCAAGGAGTCCAAGGCAGTGAAGGAGGAGAGTGACAGCAATAAATACGCCGAGCTGCTGGTGTTTGGCTATGCCTGCAAGGTGTTCCGGGACGATGAGAGGGCTCTCTTCCACGAACAGGGCAAACATCTTATCCCATGGATGGGGGACAAGAAGATCATGATTGATAGGTCGGTTTAACAAACGCGAAAGGGAAACAATACCTAACCAACTAATGTCTTCCGAAGGGACCGCTTGGATTTTCTTTTGTTTTCTATTAATTCGAGAAGGGATTCTGTCATATAAACCACTTTACAGCGGGCCAACTATACCAGTGTCTGGCCCTGGCTTTTAAACAGCCGAAGACGCAGTGCAATTATTACCCAAACGAAAATGTACTATCATCTTAAGATGCAGCGTCGTTTTCTATCTCTTTGAGCTACCAGGGTGACCTCCTTAATGCCATCTCTCCATATTTTATTTTCGCCGTGATAAAACTATGGCTGTGATTTCGGAGGTTTTACTAAATTGGCACTCTAGTTCAGAATATTTGAGCATTGTTTGAAAATGACTCTGCATCTTGCATCAAAACATTTGCTCTGATAACATCAACATTAGCCCACCGTTAACTGTATTCCCATATTCGTTTTTCCTTATTATTTTCCTCAGTTTTTAATTCTAATACAGGGTGATTACAAGAATTTAATGTAAGAAGTTGCGTTTAAATAACGCCATCATGTACTAAATAGAACACAGTAGACAGTATTGTCTGCAGCTTTAAAAAAACCTTTTATTCCACTTGAAGGCGTCTCCAAATACTTTAATTTTTTATTTTATTTGATTGGGCTGTGTTGAAATGTAACCAGATCAAATTTCCCAAAGAAATGTTTATGAAAACTGTAAATTAAGGTGGTTCACTGACATTGCAAATCTCACCTGAGGTGTCCATACACTGTGTTTGACTTTCAGTCAAGACAATGGCACCCTTATCTGGTTTGCTCCAAAAGGCAAATGAACAGTTTCTCTGATGTCTGTGACCAGTGATGCCTAAGTGCTGTATTAGAATGTATAAACATTTTTATTTGACTTGGCAGTTACCTACCAAAATCATCCTAAAGGTGTGCAAAAGACTGGCTCTTGTAGTTTGCCTTAATATTGATCATTCTATTTAAGTGTACAAACCTGTTTTCAATAAATCACTTCTGACAAAGTAATATTTTTTGCACAGGATACACTTTTCTTGCCCTTTTATAAGTTGGGTTTTGCATCTGAAAACCTCACTTGTTACTTCACTTGACTCTCTTGACTTCTCACTTGTAAGTTCTAGTCTGACTCAAAACCTTTAGGACTGCTGGCACCAGGACTGGTTCTTGGGTTGGTGTCAAAAATACCATTCGACAGGCCACTTGCTGTAGTGGCAATTGCAGAAATTGTTTGCTATACTTGTAAGGTAAAGCAAAAGTCAGTGTACTCAAATCAGCTTGGCATTTTACACCACGACCTCATGTCCGCACTTAAAATTCATACTGGCGCAAAGGGTTACGAAGTTGCATATGAATATAATAATGCAACATTAGGGTCCAACAGGTCATGCTGTGTTGGATTTGTTTTCCCTTTACAGTAGTGAACCTTCTTAATCTGCATGGTCCTGTACCTGTTTCCAATGTGTATGTGTGTGTCTCTCTATCACATGATCCAGACCTTATTTCCTCAGCAAAATGGCTAGGGGTCCAGCCTAGCCCTGATTGCCACTCCAGCGCCTCCTACTTTCTTTTGGCGAAGAACTCTGGACTGAGAGGTGGAATAGCGGAGCGAACGCAGGAAAATTTCGTCCGTTTGGTTCTTACGGATAGGTATTTATGTGCTCGGGCTTGTGTGGATGTACATTTTTTCAGTGGTAGAGGAAAGAATATCAGTTGTCTCAAGTAAAACAGGAATGGTTGATTGAACCATGTAAGGTAAGAAGTGAGATGTTTTTTTATACAGGGTTACTGAAGGAAGCAGATTCTCTTAGAAGTCAGTTAATATTTTACCCCTACGACAGTAAATCGTACTGTTCGCACTTGCTAATGTACTACTCGAATTCTGAAATTAGGTTTTCTGTCTTGCGCTTACAAGGGATTGAATCGTATGTATCTGTAACATCTATTTCGTTTGAAAGTCAGCTTATTTTAAGTGGTATTTTTCTCATTTGTTCTTTTTAGGATTCCCTTAGGGTAAGTATGTCTCTTCTGAACCCGGATGGATTCCCATCATTAACCCTTACATTCGTATTCCAGGTACGATGGGCGCGGTCATTTGCATGACCTGTCGGAGTACGATGCAGAATCCTGGAATCGGGACTACAAGCTGTCGGAGGAAGAGGCCAGGATCGAGGCTTTGTGTGACGAGGAGAGGTATTTAGCCTTGCATACGGACTTGCTTGAAGAAGAGGCGAGGCAAGGTACTACAATAAGAAATTAATTTCTTGCATGCCTTCTTTCCAGCAAAAGAGATTCATAAAAGTATTATGTTTCTTCATCTGTTTGTCATAGCATTGACTGATGTACTCACTTGTTTGTGATCTGTTAACAGTAGCCATTGGGAATGGGAAGGAGTCCTTGCAAATCCCAGTGGACATCAGGATTTTGTTTTTTAGGCAAAGCAAGCCCTCCTTCTGCTGTAGCAAGAAAAAGGGAGTGCTTTTGTATTAAATACTACTTATGATAATACGGTACTCTACATTTCTTTGTTTGACTAAACCTGTGCGGTAATAAGAACTGGTAAGCAAGAAAAATGGTGTTTAGATGTTTAACCTACCTGTACAGGATATCCAGAAGATGTAGGCAGGCTCTTTCTCAAGTTCTTAGAATCTACTTCTAATTTCTCTGTTATGATCATGTTTTTTTTTCTCCAATAGAATGGCAATAACTAATTCCTCTTACCTAGAAAACTTACTACAAAGTAGAGATAAACAGCCGAATCCATCAATAAGAAGTCTTATACCCACAACAAAGTTTCAACTAAAATAGCCTTTGTTTCTTAATGGCGATTGCGGGATGTTTTGACCTGTTTTCTCTTCTTGTAAAAATCTTCGGCCTGTGTCATTGAGTAAAAACAGTGGTGTTCCACCCTTTGTAGCTTATTTGCTTGATTCATCATAAAATATAACAAATATTTCCTGCATTTCAGGAAAAATCACTCACTTGTACAAGAGGTTTGTTAAGCATTCTTAAAGTGAAGAACAGATGCATTTTTCCACGGAGCAAAAAAAAAAACTGCACAAAATGATTGAGATTTTTTTCTTTAGTGAAGCTGACAACACACATTGCTTGTATTTCCATTTTGTATCATAACTAACGTTGTGAAGTAAATGGGTTTTGTAAACTCAATGGGTTTTGTTTCTGAACTGGCTTCTCTAATTAGGAAAAAAATATTTAATAGTTAGGTGTCTTACAAACAGGTGCCTCCATCACACTGTGGAGTTTTGGAAAGGAGAATGCCCTGATACTGAGCAGAGTAGCCATTTTTCAACCTGGTATTTCCTTCAGGCCCACTTTGAGAAATGTCGTTGCTCAGTCATTTATCAGTCTTAAAATAAATATTGGACTGAAATGTGGTGTCTAAATTTTATTCGGCAAGTTTTCTCAACACGTGAAAGACATTTTGAGCACTTTCCATTTAGGTTGACCTTCCAGGTTGACTTTGTGAGTTGCTAGTTAAAGTTTCTGATTTTGATGTTTCTTTCTGATTTCAAGAGGAAGAATACAAACGTCTGAGTGAGGCCTTGGCTGATGAGGGCTCCTACAATGCAGTGGGCTTTCGCTATAGCGCTGATTACTACGATCCTTCACAGCCTACGGAAGAGGAGGAATCATTAAAAGAAACAGGTTTGGAAAGCTATGAAATACACATACCCTTCTACTCTTATAGACTTTTGACTAATGACTTCAGTACCCCTATCAGGTATCATCTTCACTGTTGCTTAAGAAGAGCTGGTGTTTTCTGCCCTTCCCATTTGTTCTAAGACTGCTCTAAGTCTAGAAACAGTTTTCATTGTGAGATACCATGCGGTAAAAGTACATACTATTTAGGGCATTTTAATACTTGAAATTCTATGAGAAAAATGCAGTGTTTTGTCGGGGACCGTATTTTATTATAAACCCATATTCACTGAACAATGTTGCATAATAGGGGAACCTTTATGAGATGGTTGGAAATCAGACGTTGATGGAGCAGCTGGACAAATGCCACCAACATAGAGATGGTTTTGGTTAAGCCATTCTTCGATTGAATAAATATTGAATAGCTGCAGTAATTGACAGATGGGGGAAATTGTAAATGTTTCTGAGATCTCGAAATAGGGATTAAAAATGTATTTTTGTTTCAGTAGCCTAGCTCACAGCTAATGTAATCATTGCACAACCAATAATGGGCGTTTCCGCTAATTGAGGTATTAATTCTTGGATATTTTCTGAATAATTTGCAACTGATTTAAATAAGTAATATTCATTAGGACAATAAAAAGTCCCTTAAGAGCTATGAAGTAGAAACCTTTGACATATCTTGAGTCTTTTCATGGTATTTATTACTTTTGTGGTAGGTAATTAAAACTCAGTAAGCAGGATAAAATGAAGCTTTGTACGATTTGGGTTTTGGCATTTAGTGAATGTTATTTAAGTAGAGGAGTAATGGACTTCTTCAAGCTTTTTGAATTTTGATATTTAAACAGCCTCCACAATAGGCATTAACTTTCACACAGTACATCCTTCAGAATATTTTGGCACTTATCTGAAGTAAGGTCCCCCCCACCCCAGTGGATGCCACCTGCAGTTTTCATTTTCTTCCATCTGACCTTTTTTGAGGTTTGGACAGGAAGAGCTTGTAGACAGTGACACTCGGGTTCCAGTCTAGGTCATGTCAGCAGTCCGCTGGCTGTGACTCCCCAAGCAGCAGCGCACCAAAGGGAGTATAATGGGCGTAACCAGCCATGGCGCTCATGAGCCTCGGCAGCACGGTGACCCCTGCACCCCTCCTGGAGGCACGTTGTGCTGTTGGCAGTCGGCGCCGAACCTCCAGCACAGGGCTGTTCTACCCGTGTTTGACTGGCTTCATGGTGGGCCGGTCCGTCAGCTTTCGCTTCCTCATTGTCACGCGTGTTGGTTTGTCACTGGGCGAAAACCACAAAATTGGCCAAATCAAAAACCGTCTGGGTGTAATAGAAATAATTGACATTTTTTTTTGATTGATACGTGAAAAGATACATGAAAAACGTCACAAACGCCTACCTAAAAATGTTTGTACACGGGCACATTACAGACATCTAGTCAGGTATTAAAATATGTATTTATGATTTGCTAAAGGCTAACATTTGTTCTTATTAACAGAAACTGTTGGATGCTTTTTTCCTTTTATTGTACATTTGGTTCTTAATGCTCTATTTGTGTAAAAATGCAGACAGACAGAGAGATAAGGACACAAAAGAAACAGATCGAGTTTTGTGAGATATCTGGGTGAAACAAAAGCATCCCCGTGTTGGGATTGATGATTAAAAGTGGAAGAAGGAAGCAAAAAGAGAGAGAGTAGGAA